AAAAAAAAAAAAAAAAAAAAGTAAAGCTGAAGACAATAAAAAGATCAGTGGTTGAAGGAGGGCACACTGCGTGCTGGATACATGATGAATACATATCATTTGTCTAAACCCATAGGACGGACAACAGCAAGAATGGTGATCATGTGGTTTACTGTTGGCAAAACGGAACCACTCTAGCGAGTGACAGTGATAGTGGGGAGGCTAGGCATGCTAAGAGGGCAGGAAAAGGAAAGGCGTGCGTCGGTAAAATCTTCGTAACGCTTCAATTTTATTATAAACCTAAAATTGCACTAAAAAATCTTTGAAAACTTTTTCACTAGAATAAACAAAGTACTTTAAAATAGTTGAGGAAAGACATCAATGACTAAAAAGTCTATGTAACTCAGTGTGAAAGTGAAAAGAAACCAAACAATGCAAAGAAATCTATGTATTAGAATTGTATTACCTATGTATTATAATTATTTATCGTAAAGGCAAAAGAACCCTTCCTTTCCTGCAGACTCTTGGCCACAAGAGTCTGCCACTGTTCACTCCGGCAGAAGTGCAAACTCGCCATTTCCTAAATTCATTAGCAGTCAGTACAAACTTATACCAGGACCTGGCCTTAACAGTGCTAGGTTTCTGGTTTAATTATGTAATCTAATATGTCAAATTAACTAAACTCCAATAACCTTTCTGTAACAGATTTTCCAATTCTTCAATTCTTTCTTCATAGTCTCGTAACTCTTCTCGATGCCGACGACTTATTTCTGTTAGTTTGTGTTGCTGTGCATTCTGTAATACTGACATTTCATGCTGATGGTCATCAATTTCCTGACTTCGAGTCTGTTTAAGTTCCTTGAAAAATAAAAACAAAGTTAACCACATTTATAATCAATAAATTTAGCTAAGCAATTTCATTGTCCAAAATTTTAAATTATTAAAAATAATTTCGTGAACATGCTAAGGCTAGAGAGAATTTAAACGCAGGCCCCAAATTTGTACTGTTCTGGAAGATTACATTCACTCTTTTCTTCTTGGGCTTTAAAAAGTCTTTCTACTTTTAATGACGGTACACCAACAAGAAAAAACTAAAACAAAATGTTTGAGCAAAAGTACCTTTTTCCTTAATATTTCTGACCATCATGCACTGCTAATGACATATTCCACCAATTATCTGTGTGAAGCTACAACTTACAACCCTCACGTCCTCCCCCTCAACCTTTCTTTCCAATAGTCTTGACTGAACTTCTTCCAAATAATCAACCAAGTTGATACCACCAGTTTCATTCATGGATCTTGAGCCAAGTCTCTCAGAGGGGAAAGGTTGGACCAGAGGCATTATGAGAGCTGTATCCTAAAAAGTTGGTCTCCTATATCCTGCTACCTGGATCCCTGACTGTCCCCATTCCTGTCCTTCCTGAGGCTCTATGCTCAAGTCCTCATTCAAACCAACTGACAGATGAACCTGGGCCTGTCCTCTGCTATACTTAGTCAGAAATAGTTTTTGTCGCTTATAACCAGACAGTTTAATCTACAAATTAGCTCCTATTTCCTGAGAAGACAAGTGAAGTTATTCTTTAATCCTATGTACCACCATGTGGCTAGCAGCTTTACACTGAAACCTCCAAACAACCCAGGATGGTTTCATGATGGTACCTACTCTACTGATGAGAAAACAGAACTAGGAAAAGTTAATTAATTTCCCAGTGTGGCACAGCTGGTAAACAGCAGAGCCAGGAATTCAAATTCAGATCTAACTCAGGAACCCACCCATACTAATACTGTATATAGTAACGAAGCCAAAAACTAAACCTTCTACAAACTGACAATAATTACATCCAAAATAAAAAATTTACTGCTGGCCCTCCCTGTTGGCGCAGCAGGTTAAAGCACAGCACTAAGAAGCTTAAGCCACTTCCACATGAGTTCGAACCCCGCCTGCCCTGGAGGAGATCCACATGGCGCAGCAGACCTCTCCTGACCCGCCCGCAGCTCCCCTCAGCAGTGTACTTTGTCGATCTGCCTGTTCTGCTCCCCACTCTGCCCCTGGTGAATCTTCTCACCCTCTGCATCTCTGGCCTGTACCCTAGTTCTGTATGAATATATAAATCTTTAAAAAAAAAAATTTACTTCTATAACAAATACATACAACCTTTCCTGAAATAGTTGCCAAATTACCAAAGTTTCACCACTAAAATAATTATTTACAAAGAATGATATTATCATTTTATTTTGTCAATATCCTTAAAGCTAAATCTGGAAACTTCAACAATCTGGGTATCAGTTTTAATAATGATACAGTAGACAAAGATAAGGTACAGTAATAGACTTATGAAATGTAAACCATATGAGAAAAAAGTGCTCAATCCAAATGACTCTGAAAAGAGATATTTAAACCTATGTTATAATAAAGAATAAAGAAAATACAAAAAAAGAAACAAATGTGTCACAACCTGTATGATTACTTTTATAAGACTTTATTAATTTAGGCTTACACTTTTAATAAGCAAGCTTAGATGTGTAATAGCCAGTTCTAACAATCCATCTTACCTTAATGATATTTTGCAATTTGTAGATTTCACTTTGATCAGAGTTATTTGATCCTTGTGCTTTGGAAGTCTAGATCAGAAAAACAATTTGACAATTATAGTGATTTTCTTATAAAAGGAAAAATCACAAACTAATTTTTCTAAAAGATACTTTAAAAAGGGGAAATTTCCCCCTAGACTATGGTGATGGCACATGGGTGATCTGGTGATGGGAAGCCCATGGGGATTATATTTGAGACAGAAAAATGCACAAAATGATGTAAAAATAAACTATTATATTATTTTTAAAAAATAAGTCAAAAATGAAAAAAAAAAAAAAAAGAGGGGGGCACATTTCCCAAATTCTGACTAAAGAATGTCAAACATCTCTTAAAAAAACATCATCTAATATATTGAGTAACACACAATAAGTAAAAAATATTATTCAAGAATGTGCTAATTGGGGAAACAATCTTTGCTTGCTGCTCCCCTAGGCAGGGTATTTCAGTACATCTACCTGTTCTGCTCCCCACTCTTTCTTTGGTGAATCCTCTCACCTCCTGCAACTCTGGCCCGTACCTCAAGTCCTTATATGCGTAAATAAATAAATCTTAAAAAAAAAAAAGAACATATAATATTCTATGTAGCTTAACTTAACAAGATGAAAATAAAGTAGCTTCCTAAAAAGAAGTATCTAAAATGGAAACGTTACCCAATGTTAATGCTAATAATAACCCAGAAAAAAGATTTTTAAATGATTGTACCCTTTCTACACACACCAGTAATTTTATTTACTCATGAAAATTTTACCTGAGCAATATGCCTCCAATGACTAACTTCAGACTCGAGTCTTGAAACTTCATTTGACAATCTATTTATTTCCTGTTGTGATGAGATTACATCACCAAAGTCCATGTCATCGTCGTGGAAAGCTGATGCATGATGACTCACACCATAGCCGAATGAAGATGATGCAGTGGCTGGTGTGCTGCTCACCCCTGAATTTACTGACTGAGTAACTGACTGCAGCTTCAGTAATTGATCCTGTAGTGCAATCTGTCTTGCTTTTAGATGGCTGATTTCTACCTGTATATTAATAACCCACATTTCAGAGAAGGCACTTAAATAAAATAACCATATTGACCTTTTTATAGATTCATATTAAATTACAATAATTTGCTTAAGGTTATCCTATGATGGTACTCTATAAACTGATCCAAATCTTCCTGTCTTTAAAACTAATATAACATTTTTATTTAAAAAACAAGATTACCACAGTGACAGAAAAGACAATATTTCAAATAGCCTGAAGATCAGAATTTCATACATTTATTAATTAAGGCAAGTAGTTTCTCAATTAGGCAATAGGTTTGCTATGTACAAGGTATCTAGGTATTTTCCCCAGATTTCTGTTCCTAATTACCAAATTTAACTGGTAAAGATAATGCAAGTTTTGTCAGTCTATGCATGTAAGTTTCCTTAGAACATCTGCTACAAGAGCATTATGCAATGGATTTTGGCTTAATTTAGGCTTAAAATGTACCGTGAGTCAGATGCTAACTTTGTCATGGGCTATACAACACAGCTGGAAAAGTGCTTTGATTTATTAATTCAATCTTTTTAGACAAGATTGGTTATTAGCCCATGAGTCTTAAAAGGAAATTTTGTATTATAAGAGGCCTTGGCAAAGAGGGGTCATAAAAATTTGACTTACTCAGAGACTGCAGCTATAAAACAAAGGATGTTCTCATTATACATTTACATCAAGTTGTATAGTTACACAACTATAAACTTCAGTAACAAAGAGACTTTTTTAAACTTGAATATTTAATTTGTTCCCTAATATCAATAGTTAACTGGAAATAAAATGTCAAAATTTTCCACAGTAATGTTTTCAACTGGTGTGTAAGCATCAGAATCACCTCTGGAGTGTTCTTGAAAAATACCAATACCAGCATGCCTTCCCAATACCCTACATCAGATTATCCTGGAGAACATAGCTGTGCCTTTTAAATTCCTGGTAAGAACTATCTCTGTACTGTAGTATTTATTCAGATGCTCAAACTGTGGCCAGACTGATGTCATAAATGTTTGTACTTCTTCATGACAAAGTAAGTACAAGATTTCAAAGAACTTAAAAACATTTTAAAAGCTAATTGAGGGCCCTCCCTGGTGGCGCAGCAGGTTAAATAAAGCACAGCACTAAGAAGCTTAAGCCACTTAGACATGAGTTCAATCCAATCCGCATGAGTTCGATCCCCGCCTGCCCTGGAGGAGATCCACATGGCAATGCAGAACTCTCTTGACCCACCCGCTGCTCCCCTCAGCAGCCGATCTGCCTGTTCTGTACCCCACTCTGTCTCTGGTGAATCCTCTCACCCTCCGCATCTCTGGCCTGTACCCCAGTTCTGTACGAATAAATAAACAAATCTTTAAAAAAAAAAAAAAGCTAATTGACAGTAATTTTACATCTGTTGAAATTTTTTCTATGGCTGTTAACTTTAATTTGAATTTTAACTGCTTTTTTATATCAATTAAATTTTGCAGCAATTAATTTTATGAAAGCAATCCTAACAGACTAGAAATGTAAACTCTGAATGTTCACATTTATCTTTATGGGGTTATTTTTAATTTTCATCTTAGTATGTCACCAAAGGACCTAGAAATCAATGCATCTAAACTTTAAAAATCCAAATAGAAAAAAAAAGTTAAAATAGAAAGTTATGACAGAAATGAACATTTCATTAGTAACAAGAAATGACTTAATTCAATAGCATTTGTTGAATTCCTGTTATATAGATATAGTCTGTATTTTAACATTTTATAACACTGCTTAAATTCTATTTACTACCAAAACTTAAAAAAAAAAAAAAGGATAAACCAATGCCAGAAGAAATTTCAAGGGAAAAATAATACACTATAAGGTAACTGCAATCTATGTAATATTTTTTTTTCCTATGGAAAATAAAATGAAATGCCAATAAGACACATTTTATAGCTATATCACAATCTTATTTTTTTTTTAAAGATTTATTTATTTGTGCATACAGAATTGGGGTACAGGCCAGAGGCTCAGGGGCGGTGAGAGGATTCACCAGAGACAGAGTGGGGAGCAGAACAGGCAGATCGACGAAGTACACTGCTGAGGGGAGCAGTGGGCGGGTCAGGAGAGGTCTGCCACGCCATGTGGTCACCTCCGGGGCAGGTGGGAATGGGGCAGGTGGGAATCGAACTCATGCGGAAGTGGCTTAAGCTTCTTAGTGCTGTGCTTTAACCCTCTGCGCCACCAAGGAGGGCCATCACAATCATATTTTTAAAGGAAAATGACAATAGCAGAGATCATACTATTCAAAACAATTTTAATAGATAAAAAAATCATAAAATTAGAAATTATAAGCAAGATACCTGATATTTTATATAAAGATCTTTCTTCTTTTATAAAGTAGAAAAAAATCCACCAAAGTTAGTTGTATAGCATCAAGTTAATGGAATTCTTATTAAATCAGTGAACACAAAATTAGTTGGAAATTATTAACTTGAAAACACTTTCAATATTTTTATAGATCTAAATTTAGTTTAATTATACAACTCTTTAAAAACCTTCTTAAATAAAACACACTAAAATAACTGTAATAACCTTTACCTCTTTCTGTTGTAGCTCATTCCGGTAACTTGTGGATTGTTGCTTTATTTGAAGCTCTGATGCTTCATGCTTTTCTTCTAGATCAGTAACAAGTTGTTTAAGCCTCTCATTCTACAAGCAAAGGAAAAAGAATTTAACAAATTAAAACAAGTTAGCAAAAGTTATGAAGGAGGCATCATGAAAAACATTGTTGCTCACAAAAAGGTCTCAAAATTCTGACCTTTAAAACACACTTTCAGTTGAAGTTGCAAGTGCAACTTTAGTGTGTTGTAGAGATTATACATAATTCTGAACCAAAGTGTCCTGGTAAGTTTGATTTTCTGCTAAGAAAAAGTCACTAATGAAAAGTTTCCCCATTGCTGTATACCCAGGGTCTAGCATGTAGTAGGTGTAAATGTATAGTAAATGAAGCAACTGGATTATAAATTTTTAAGTATTAACTTTTGTTTTTTCCCAAAACAGCAGAACTTTTTTTAAAAGAAGTCTTTCTAAAGAAGCCAAAGACTCGCGTTTTGTGACAGCCTATCCCTCAGGCTTCTAAAAAGTCTCTGAAAAAGCCAATTTGAAAACTACTTCTAGAACCTATCCTACATAATTCTAAAACACTACTACTAGAAATACATATAATTCAATCAATCTACATAGTTTTATTAATATGATAGAAAATATGAAAAGTTAAACTATGTGTCTAAATATTTAAATATCTTGACATTTGAACAGGTCATAATGGAGCAAGAAAAATGGACACAAAAACTTTCTGCAAAAAAAAAAAAAACTTACAAGTTATTAAAGATAAAAATGTATGAAGAATTCTACTAGTATATCTACAGTTAAAATTTAAAAATGATAATTAAGAAAAAGGAGACTGGGCCCTCCCTGGTGGCACAACGGGTTAAAAGCACAGCACTATAAAGCTACCGCAGTCACTGCAGCACAACAAGTTTGAGCCCCAGCCAGGAGCCGACCCACATGGTGTTACAGACCTCTCCTGGACTACCTGCTGCTCCCTCAGCAGTGTATTTCGGTACATCTGCCTGTTCTGCTCCCCTGGTGAATCCTCTCACCCCGCCACACCTCTGGCCTGTACCCCAGTTTTTGTATGCATAAATAAAAAAATCTCTTAAAACAAAAAAAGGAGGACCAACACTGAGAAAGTAAGTCTCTACCAGAGGGTGAATACTTAACTTTGAGGATGCCAACTATTTTCTTTTTAGATTCTGGATTCTTCTATACTATTACTTTCTTATATCAGCAGATGTGAAAATTATGATGCAGAAAGATTATATCAATTTCCAGAAAATTAATAGAAATCAAAGGATAAATTACAACACATACAGTCTGAGTCTGGGAGTCTTTCTCCAGAAATTTAACATAGACTAGACCCTGATTATCTTGAAGAAACATTAAGAAAAACAGGATCAGGGCCCTCCCTGGTGGTGCAACTGGTTAGAGTGCAGCACTATGAAGCTGTCTGCAGCCACCATAGCACAAGTTCAATTCCTCGCCAGGGAGGTGACCCATATAGTGCATTAAACCTCTCCTGTCTCACCTGCTACTCCCCTCAACAGTCTCACCTGCTACTCCCCTTGGTCAATCTGCCTGTTCTGTTCCTCACTCTACCTCTGGTGGATGCATTCACCACCACACTTCTGGCCTGTACCCCAGTTCCTGTGTGCATAATTTAAAAAAAAAAAAAAAGGATCAAGGGTCATATAACTAATTGCCTTCTATTCTAGTGGCTGCTCTTAACATGATTTTCTGTGAACTATAAACATGAAAATACAACACACAAGCAATGTAACCAGAAAACAGTGAAGTCAAAAATGTAATCCACTCTAGGCTTTGTCACCAAAAATACCTAAAGTTGACTAATTAATTCTGATTAATAACTAGATCTTGAAAATTTTCAACTTGGCCAATACCTGATTACTTTTCTGTTCCCCCGTCCCCAAGTATATGAGTGTCAGAAAGGTTGGTAAAAGATATGAAGGTTCAGATTCTCTTAGTGTGACTAACTCGTAACATTATCAGAAGTTTCCAGTGCCCATTATTTTCTTTTGTAAAGGGAAATGTGAAGTAGAGGGGGCCAGTCTGAAAGATGAAAAGAACATGCATACAGAAAGAAAAGGGGAGGGTAAAAATGGGACAGAAGGATTCCTGATCCTGACGACCTCTTGTTCTGGTTACTGCTGCTTCCAAGGGTCTAAGTCTAAGCACTGGAAACCATGAGATACTCTTTTCTTAAATTATTCCATCCTATTTAACTTTTGTTAATACTACCAATGTCTAATGGAACCAATTTTAGTTTGTGAATTTCTTTTTTTGAGCAGTCTAACAATGTTCAGGATTATGATTCTTACTTAACTGTCTTCCAATAAACAAAACTCATTCTACCTTGCAATTAGCATAAGGGTACATTGGGTCCTTCTACAAATCTAAGACTGTTCATAGGATTACAATCCTTTTTTTTTATCTGTAACATTTTGCCTTTTTTGTAAGAATTATTTTCTCATTACTAATCAATTATGCTCAAAGATACTTAGGAAAAAAAAGAAGATTGTTAGAATCAGCAGGAAGAATAATGCAAAGTGAAATAACCAGTTTTCTCACTTCACCAAGTATTGCATCATCTTTGAAAAAGAAAAAAAGCCATTTGGAGACACTATCTTTGCAGTCTTCTGTTTCTCTGTTCCCTCTTTTACTCTCAATGAAAACAGCTGAAAATTCCAGAATTTTCATTTTTCAAGAAAACTGACAGAGGAAAATACTTCACAATTACACAACTCAGATAATGCAAGACACAAAACAGCACTCTCACGAAATTTTGTGAGAACAACCTAAATCACCTCACTTTGCTAAATAATGAGACGTGACACTATTCTATCCTTACATAAGCGATGTTTTTACACCAAGTTTACCTGACATAGTTCATATATATACACGCAAATGCTGAACCAGCATGTGGAAAAAATAGTGGATTGGTGATTCTAATTGGTATGTAGAAATCTAAGAATACATATGATTTCTAGTTACCTAGCAAACGGACAGCCAGTGTATCTCAACACAATCAGGAGCCATCAAAGTTTTCAAAAGTACTCGTTTTAATGATACAAGTCAAGAAGCACCAAAAATAATGGAAAGCTAAAATCTGTTAGAGATGTAAGTGAAATCAGAATCTACTATTCCAATTCATGCATAAGTTAATAAAGTTAATTGCATTCAAAGCACATTACCTATTCTTAAGAATATTTTCAAAATCAGAAACATGTGGAATAAGGGGCATTTGGATTTGCTACACATATGTTCCTATTAAAATGTGCAATTAAATGTTTTATTATTATTTTATTTTTCTATAAATTATTTGTAAAATGATTATAAAAACATTAAAAGCCCACTGGACACAGACTGTAAATGTGTTGACTATTTTTCTTGGCAGAGAGGGTCAAATTAGCTTAGGTTGGTTGCTGTGACTTGCTACTGAAGAAGTCTAACTTGGTCAGCTTCAAATATTAACAATGTGGTGAATATAATTTCCTCAAGAAAACACAATGCTTTCTCCACTTACACTACAACTTTTTCAATAAAATTTTATATTGTTAAGTTTTCTGGTGTCTTCAATCACAATTTCTACTTTTTAGTTAAGCAAGGATTAAGTGTTTATGTGTTGACATAAGGCAAGAATCGTGTATAAAAATAAAGTCTGAAAGGGCCCTCCCTGGTGGCGCAGCGGGTTAAAGCACTGCACTAAGAAGCTAAAGCCACTTCCGCATGAGTTCAATTCCTGCCTGCCCAGGAAATCCACATGGCGAGGCAGACCTCTCCTCACCGACCCGCTGCTCCCCTCACTGGTGTACTTCGTCAATCTGCCTGTTCTGCTCCCCTCTCTGTCTCTGGTGAATCCTCTCACCCTCCACATCTCTGGCCTGTACCCCAGTTCCATATGAATAAATAATCTTTAAAAAAATAAATAAAAAATAAAGTCTGAAAAAATAAAGCCTCTGGGAGGTGCAACAACAGGCTTTCTCTAGTGCTTGAATAGCTTACTGTACTTGGGATGAGCACCAAATGAGGAAGTTGGCTTTCATTTGGGGACGTATTATGTAAAAAATAAGTATTTCTAAACTCTAGAATGGAGGGCAGCCTCCCTGGTGGCACAAGAAGTAAAATCTTAGGATTGTGAAGCTGTCCACAGCCAGTGCAGCACAAGTTTGACCCCAGGCCAGGGAGTGACCCATCTGGTGCAGCAGACCTCTCCTGTCTCCCTGTTGCTCTCCTCAGCAGTGTATTTCAGTAGATCTGCCTGTTCTGTTCCCCACTCTGTCTCAGGTGAATCCTCTTACCCTCACCCCCACTCCTGTAACTCTGGTGTGCACCCCCAGCATAAATAAATCTTTAAAAAAAATAAACTAGAATGATACTTGTCATAGTCCAATGACACCCTGAGTAATTAGAAATAGGATCAACAGAAGGACAGAAAATTTCTAACTCCCTTTTCACGCTCTTTGGTACAAAGCAGACATTCATTAAATAGTTAACCTGTGTTATGTTCCTCAAATGTACAATGGCAAATCTACCCACATAAATGCCACTACATACATCTCTGCCATTTAACTTCTTCTGGATGAGCTATACTGACAAGCGCTTTCTTAAGGACTTCTGTAGGGACTATAGGAACAATTTCCAGTCCCAATCTTATAAAGGAAAAGGGTTACTCAGTTCACCTGTTACTACAGAATCCACTAAGAGGTTACAGTGAAGTTCTTAAAGGACACCCAGTTACCACTTTCTGCTGATTCCTCTTTCAATTTCCACAATCTCACCTTGGTGACCTAAAACTGGAATTCATATGTGCTTGTTGTAATATTTTTTTCCTAGAGGTAAGAATTGAAGACAGGGTCTCCTTGCTGATGCAGGGATTAAAGACAGCACTATCAAGCTGTAACCAGGGGAGCTGACCCACATGGCCCAGCAGAGCTCTTGAGAGCTATCCCACCTACTGTTCCCCTCAGCAGTATACTTCAGTACATCTGTCTGTTCTGCTCCCCACTCTGTCTCTGGTGAATCCTCTCACCCCCTCACCTCTGGCCGTACCCCAGTTCTTGTATGCATCCATAAATAAATTAAAAAAAAAAAGAATTGAAGACAAGGTATAAAATAGTTTTTAATGGGGCTCTCCCTGGTGACACACATGTTAAAGCACAGCACTGTTAAGCAATCCACAGCCACTGCACCTGCTGCTCCCCTCAGTACCTCATCAGTCTGCCTGTTCTGCTCCCCACTCTGTCTCTGGTGAATACTCTCACCTCCCCAGAACTTCTGGCCTGGAGTTCTGCATGCATAAATAAATAAATCTTTTTTTGTTATTATTTTTTTAATTTAATTTAATTTTTTTTTAAGATTTATTTGTGCATACAGAACTGGGGTACAGGCCAGAGGCTCAGGGGCAGTGAGAGGCTTCACCAGGCACAGAGTGGGGAACAGAACAGGCAGATCGACGAAGTACACTGCTGAGGGGAGCAGCGGGCGGGTCAGGAGAGATCTACCACACCGTGTGGTCATCTCCGGGGCAGGTGGGAATCGAACTCATGCAGAAGCAGCTTTAGATTCTCAGTGCTGTGCTTTAACCCGCTGCGCCACCAGGGAGGGCCTATGTTATTTATTTTTAATAAATCTTTAAAAAATAGTTTTTAGTGTACTGTGCACAGAAAAGGGTGACACTCTAGAGGGGGAAAAATAATTACTGATGTCAGTTTGGAGAGGTGTGCAGTGGGGCCCTTTGGTTACCTCTGAGAGAAATTTTACCAGAGCTCCCCTTTCAGCAGCATGCAGTGAGTCCCCCAAGGTGAGTCTTCCCACAAGGCAGAGAACCTTTAGTTATATCTAAAAAAGCAGGTTTATTATAAAAAGGGGAAGAGGGGCTCTCCCTGGTGGTGCAGTGGGTTATAGCGCAGGAGCTACACAGTCACTGCAGTGCGAGTTCAATCTCCAGGCAGGGAGGTGGCCCACATGGTGCAGCAGACCTCTCCTGATCCACCAGCTTCTCCTCTCAGCAGTGGATTTTAGTCAATCTGCTTGTTCTGCTCTCTACTCTGTGGTAAATCCTCTCACCCCGCACCTCCTATTGTATCCTAGTTCTATATGCATAAATAAATAAATAGCACAGACACACGCTGGCAGAAAGAGCTGCCCCAAAGAGGGACAGGGTTGCTAAAGAGACCACGACATAGACACATGCGGGTGGTCTTGGGAGGAGAGGTGCTTCCACTGCTGTGCAAAGGGAGTAGTCAGTGAAAAGAAACACCTGTACAGACACACGCCGGTGAGCTGCCTACTTTCTTAGAATTAAGTGCAATTTTCTCTTTTTAAGGGCTTAGTAGAGAAGAAAACATGCTTACCAGTCTTCTAAGAATATCTTTTGTTGAGGCACTATCATTACGTGTTCTCTCACTATTGTTATCCAAAGGCTAAAGCAGCTGAGTGTGTTAGTCCTTTACAACAGACCCCTCTTTTAAATCCTTTCATTTTCTTTATGGCTTTCCTTTGAACCCTTTCCAAGTTTTCCTGCTTCCTAGCAAATACAATGTACAGACTAGCTCAATGTACAGAGCTAGTCTGTACATTGTATGAGGCACTCATAATGAAAACACTGCAAATTAATTTGCTATGCTTACATTAATTTCTTTGTATATCACACTTTTAATGTTAAGGAATTAAAAACTTCTAGATTAAACAGAGTTGCATTCTTTATATACTTAAAAGCCACTAATGCAATTTAGTACAGTTATAATATAATACAGGTGCAGGATCGTGATAAATTGTTGCCACTTATTTCTACATTTGGCAGTTTTCTTACTTGTACCACACAGAAACAGAGATGGGACTATTAAACTGCAAATGCAGTAACATGTAGATATAGTCTTCATCTAAGGGGAGGAAATCATCTAAGAGATAAAGGGAAAGAGATAAAAAGTAAGTAAATAGTATAGAGAAGACTGAAACAAAGAATAATTTCCAAGGCTTAAAAAAAAATCTACATTCAATGACAGTCTTTAATTTTCCTTACCTCTGATCGTAAGATTGCATGACTGGCTTCAATATCCTTTCTCTCAGAATTAGGTAACTGTGCTATGAAAGAAACAGAATATACTGAATATTTGATCGCCAACAAGTGAATGACTTAATAAATGTGTCTTTTAAGGAAATACATTTTATTAAGTGTTAAACAGAATGGTTGTGGTAAGTGAAATAAGTCAGAAAATGAAAGATACTAACTGGATGACTTCACTCATTTGTGGAATATAAATGACCCAAGTAAACTGCAAAAACAATACAAATAACTCTAGACTCTGAAAAATATGGTCATTACCTAAAGGAGAAGGAGAAGGGGAAGAGGAAAAGAAGAGGAGCAGATGGAGAGGTAAAGATGACAAAAATAGGGTCACAACACTAGAACGTTGCTGGAGGGTACACATATTGAGGTGTTAAGCTGTACCCCAAAGGTATATTAATTTGTAAACAAGCATACAATTTTATCAAACAAATTGAATACATTAACTGGAAATGAATCTATGCTGATCTGAGAACAAATCCAGAAGACATCACTTGACTCTCATCACAACTTTTTCTATAGCCACCAATGTTCTTCATTGTCTTGTAAGTCATTCTTTTTGCCTATTTTTTAAAAATAAATACAATCATCTATCTTTACCTCATGTTCATTAAAATTTTGTTATGGAAATTCAGTATTACAAATTGAATTTCTCAGTGTAATTTTAGATGAAATGTATGTAACTGGGGTTTTAAGTCTTATTTCTAACTTATTCTGTTCTCAATACTATAAAAACAGTTAATGACTAATGACCAAAGAATGAAAATGTATTAAGAGCACTTACTTTAAGTAACACGGACACAAATTATTAAAAAGAGAATCAGAGGCCATCAGTGCCAAAATGCTCTGCTGATACTGTTAGAAAAATCACTGTCCACAGCATATTCCCCCCAGGATCACTCACAGCATTTGAGTGCTATAATAACATCTCTGAATTACAGTTTAAATCAAAAGAAACTACCAGTGGTATCTAGGAAGTAATAGTGACAAACCAACCTACTCTTCTTGCGCTGAAAACCAGGAGGTAGGGTTGCTCCTATGGTTGTTTATATACTTTGTTTAAAATAGTCAGGATTGTCTAACTGCCACTCAGGAGACAACAAATTATAATTTAATCTGTTTGGAAAGGTTATTGTTAAGAGCACCAACTGTTTCAGAAGGATAAAAGGTTTAAGTAGACCTCGGCCCCTGATAACAACAAAAAAATTTCCTGGTCTCAGAAATAAAAGGAAAATGCAATAGGAAAAACTCTTCTTCAATGAGGAGAACAAAATAAAACAGCTAGCTACTGCTTACTAATGCTTATTATTTTCTAGGCACATTTCTGGGCCTTTGGACTTATATTTCAGTTACTCCTCTCACCCTTGTGAAAGATATGATCATTTCTATTAACAGATAGGGAAACTTTACTTTTCAAAAGTTACTTAACAACTTGTCAAAGATCCAAAGATACAATTCGTAATACATGAGAATTTCAATTTATGGATATTAAACACCCAAACTTATACACTGATATATCTGTAGTGTCTAGTAGAAGAGCAACTTTCTGATAATGTAAATATGGGTAACTTTCAAGCTGTAGTAGCAATGTTATTTTGAAACAGTACTATCTTGTTCACTGTTGGCATAAGATACACAATAAATACTTGGTGAATGAATAATGAAATGTACTCTGATCTTCAAGTTATTCAAAATCAATAAATAAGGTGTTAAGTAAGTTCCATGTTAACACAGGGTTAATAGTAAATATTAAGCAACTTTACAGATTTTTAATCACTCAGTTAACTTTTTACTGAACATCTACTAAGTACTAAACAGCTACTATGTATTGGTAATGTGTGCACATATCTAGCCCCTACCCTGAGCACCAAGGAAAAAGATCAATTATGACTCAATAAAGAAAGTGCTGTTGAGGGGGGTCCTCAAAGTTCTAGAACTCAGGTCACTTGCAATCAACTCAATCAGATGTGGAGTTGAGGAGCAGGTCCAGAAAAAAATTGTTTTCTAGGCAGATAGAGGAGAAAGAAGAAAAGGAAAGATTTTCCATGTAAGGATTGGAGTTGGGTAAGTACCTTACAAAGTTCCACGTGGCATAAACTGTAGGTGCAATCCCGCAGATGAATATACCTATGAATGGCACCTAGGAGAGACAGGTAGGCAAGCAAAGTCCATAGGAGACTGAAATGGTAGTTGAACCCAAAAGTGTTTCTTATATCCACAAGAGGGGATTTTAAAGCAAATATGTTTTCAGAAAAGTAACAGGCAACACAACAGAAAATGGAATGTGGTGGGAGAGAAATTGTGCATGAGATTGGGATCTGAAGAAGAGGTAATGGAGGAAAAACAAGTATACAAGTCTAAGAAACAATTCTGGTACAGGATGAACAAGATTTGGTGACCAACTAGAAGCAGGAAATGAAAAAGAGGCAAAACAGTTGATAAAGATTTCTATTTTAAGAGACAGGGCTGATGATGAAACTATTATCATTAATATACAGAAGCACATTTGGTGGGAAAAACAAAATGAATTAGAAGTCTGCAAGACATCCGGGTTGAGGGTATAAACTATTCTAACTTAAGGTCAAAGAAATAGTCAATAGTTTCCCCCCACAGATGCAAAGACAAACACCATGTTATCCATCGAGTCCTCGAGGGTCTCCTGACTACCATCAAGGTGACCAGACCCTTTCTAAACACAAGAACAATCCCTTTCAGTCCACCACCAAACTGTCCCACCTGAGGAACCTCCTATCCAGGGAGTACCCCCAAGCAGTAAAATGGTTTGGTTGCTTCCCTATATAAATACAATCTATGCCAAACTGTTTCTGTTTCAATCAAATAAACAAGAAAGTTTTTAAAAATCAGGATTAAGAAAGCTTTTAAAACAAAACAGTAATTTGTTACTTCACAAGAAATAAAACTGTGAAAGGATCACCCAAAAGAACAGCCCATTGTCTCTCTGGAGGCTGGCTTAGATTAAAATTAAAGGACTCGATCTAAATAGTAGTTGCTTAAATGACAAGAAATCAAAACAGTAATTAATGTTAACTATCCATTACCTGATTATTCTGGATAACTACTGTAAAACAAAATGAGAACTTCAAAAATGAGTGAAGGTTGTTAAGGGCACTCAAGAAGGGGATGCCGTCAAACACGGGAGGGGATGAACAACTGTGCGGGAAAATAACACTTTCAGTTGTAAGGGTGCAATGTGTCACCAGAATAAGCAAAAATACGAAATAACTACTAGGAAAAATAGGAATGTTTCATTAATATACCCAAGTCAGAAAGCGTAAGGGTCACTAAATATTTTAACTATGAGTTACTTCAAATATACAAAACCCGAAAAAAAATTCAAAACACTGACCGTGTCGGACACAATTCTTTTTAAAGCCGTGTTCAGTATAAAGGAAGGAAGAAGAGCAAAATTAGATCCATCCCGCCGCCCCCCAAGCTAAAGGCAAAGCCAGTGGTGGGCGTGGGGGAACCAAACAGCACTACTTATGACAGTCTCCACTCTGCCCTAAGATATCTAGGGTACTCAAGGGGAGGAGAATCAGCACTCTCCCCGGACGCAAGTTTTTCATCAAAGAAAAACGACTAAGAGGAGGTAAAGGAAGAGATGTAGAGAAAATAGGGCGGAGGGCCACTCCGCGGTGACCCGTCCTGATGGACGGACATAGGGACCAAACGGATGTTCCCAGGGTCCCAGAAAAGCCCTCCCTCTCATCGCTCCAGCTGCTACCTGCCACTTCCTCCGTGTCCTCCATCAGCATATCCTTGGTGAAGTTTGAAATCTGGCCAGTGAGGGACGCCAGGCTGCCCCCGACTTGACCCAGGGACTGGCCCAAGCCGGAGCCGAGGCCCCCGAGCCAAGACGACATCGCTGCGGGTTAGAGAGCGACCGGTCCGCTCCGAGAAAAGCCGTTGTCCACCGTAGTCGGACAACCCCCCTAAATGTCCTCCAACCGCTGCCTCCGCGTAACTAGTCCAAATCCAGACACTGAGGATTCGACGTCTCGAGGAGCGGTCCCCGGGCAACTCCGGCTTCTGGGGGCTCCCACCGACTGCCGGGCTCTGCCTACAAACGCAAGGCCCGGGCTGGGACTTTACCAGGAGCCCGCCTCCAGTGACACAGTCACCGCCGCAAGGTCTCGGCTCATTCCCCCGACTTCCCACCGTCCGGGTTGGGCCACTTCTTCCTCTGTTTTAGTGACTTTCCCCAGCTCCGTGGGCAACTCCTGCCAACTCGACGCCGGCCGCCATGACACCCAACCTGGAACGCGGCGACGGATCATAGAGAGGCGGCGCGGCGGTGTAGAAGGGCCTTGCGGAGCCGCCGGACGTGGCCTTCACGCAAGGGAACCTGGGAGCGCGGAGGAGCGCGGAGGCGGCCGACGCGCCCGCAGCTACCAGCCCGGGGCAAGGTCGCTTCCACGTCGCTCGCTGGCTTTGACCTCGAGGCGAACAGCACCCGGAGCGACGTGACGCTCACGACCGGCCGTGCCTGCGTCTTGGGCAGAGCCGGCCCTCGGTGGGTGCCTTCCACTCCCGGGGCCTACGGAAACCTGGCGGCAGCTATTTTCAGATTAACTCATTCGTGAACAGCGCAAGCTAATGTGGCGGAAAACCTGTCTAGTTAAACTCGCCGGTGGTACCGGTGGCAGCAACTCTGAAGTACCCCTCCCCCACACGTTGGTACACACACCCGTGTCCATCCGGGCTTGCTGGTGTCGCCAGAGGAAGGTCACGTGCCGCACAGCACTAGCTGCGGAGGTTCATGGGGGTCATATTACCTGGCCAGAGGCCACCGCTTTCGTTGGTTTGAGAATAGGGTCGACCTGCTTTTTTTAAGCGCTACACTAGACGACATCGTCGGCTTTGTACTCGCAGGAGTGCCGCCACGGGTGGCACGATTCGGAGGGAGCCCTGGGGATGCCTCCAGTATTTGGAATCTGACGGCCCCAGGCAATGCCAGCTGTTCCAGAAATCCAAATGCGTTTTTAAAAGAGGATTTGCATCTCATTCTAGGACTGTTTCTTAAATCTTTCTAGGTGATTGTTTGGAAGCTATTTTTGCCTCGGAGTGTAGAGGTGCAGGCGCTGGAGCCTGACAGCTGGGTGTGTTAGTTAACCTCCCTGTGCATCTGTTTCTTATTTGCAAAATGGGGAATGGTAATTATAGTGCCTGCTGGATGGGATTAAGTAAGGTAATACTTAAAAGGCTTCAAATGCTTCCTACTATATGGTGCATTCTGTTTAAAGTATTAAGAATATTTTTAATATGACATACAGGTGATCTGCAGTTTGTTGAAGTGTCTGCCATTATGCTGGGTTCTGGCATTGTCAACCAACTTTCTATTGCAGAAAATAAACGATTGAGCATTCTTGTTCCACTCCAAGCCGACTAGTCCTGCGCTTTTAATGTTATGGCGTCAAACTTGTTGGTAAAATCTTTGATCAGTGTTTACCTCGTATGGCTCATAAGAATACCGAGCCAAAACTGTGCTAATATGCCATTGCCTGCATTTTTCGATTTTTTGTTCTTCCTGAAGTTAACAGATTCCATCTTTTAAAATTGCCATTTTCTGTTACTACAGAATAACCAATTCTAAGCTTAGCAACAGAATTATAAAATATGCTCCCAGAGTATAAAGTACCAGGGGAGAAAATAATAATAATAATGAACAACTGTATACCAGAGATATTTTATGGGGGTGGAGTGGGGGATAGGGTCAAAATTGGGGGGGAGGACATGCACTGGACTATGGTGATGGCACACAGGTGATTTGGTGATGAGAAGCCCACGGGGATTACAACTGAGATA